CACAGTCATGTGAATTAAACATCCTCAAGGGGAATGCAGCATCTGGATTCCTAATAAAGTGGCAGCCCCTTTTATGCAAGCCTATCAAAGGGAGTTTACTGGGGACCTGGTTCAGCTGTAGAATCAGTTTCTGTAGCATGAAAGTCTTGATCCATTACCTGGATGATGATGAAAAAACAGATGAAAAAGGGAGATCATAGAACACAGCAGTGAATAAGATGGTGATGAAGGAGAAATCACGTTTAGGTTTTGAAAATACGGGGTCAAGTTTCTTTTGGGTCTACTTTTAAAGCCATGAAGCAAGAACAAATTTGCCTCATTTGGAAATCCTGAAGAACAACTGGAAATGAGAACTTTGGCAAAAAGTTTGTGTGTAAACACAGCAACAACAACAACAACTACAAAGGATTAACCTTGGGTAGGAACCAAGCATCCTGTGAACTGGAAAGGCTTCTGTCAAACCAGAAATGCCTTTCAATTTTTACTGCCTGGAAGCTGTTCTTGCAGAGGTCTTGTCTGTCTTCTGACTGAACATTCAGTTCTGCCTCATTACTCTATCTGTATATTGCAAAATACCTAGCTGGAAATTTAACCAGCTTTTAAATTGCTGAAGGGTGTAAACAGACGTAGATTCTGTAAAAAGTTGTGTCTGAGAAAGGCGTTTACCTATTTATGGTTTGGACCTAAATGCCTATTGTAGCCCCTCTACTAGAGGTGACTAATTGATTTTGACATGAGTAAGCCAGAGAGAGGCCACGTAAATAGGTCCTCTGACAGATCAGAGAGGTTGCTAACCTCAGCCACTAACTCACTAAGAGAGTGTGAGTGTAGGCTTGTACTGACAGGCAAGTGAGAGGGGGCTTGGAATGTAACCTCTTCCATTTGCACCACTATATCCAGAAAAAGTTGTCTACTTTTAACAGTACATGTAAGCTGGTATAAACATACTGCACATGAAGACACATGAAGTTGGCTAATATTGATTTTGCTTAATTTTACCACTATGCTGTGTGGAAGTATCTGAATCTCCATTGGTCGCTTTCAAGAGCAACTTTAGAGACCAGGAATTGTTTCTTCTAGTGCTGCATTGAAGGACACACCAATAAAACTACACACAAGTCTATAAAAAGATGGTCTTTAGCCAACTTTCTCTAGATACAGTATTTTTCTTAGCCTTCTATCCCTTTCAGCTGTTGTTCTCCCATTTCTTAGCTATGTCTAGCAGTCACCTTTAGGCCTCGGGTGCTGCCTGATAGCCTAAAAGTACCTCCTGTAAATAAATGACCAAAACCAAGGGGACCCGATCCTGCTTCAGTATAGCCAAAGGCAAAATTTCTTGTATCAGTGGCAGCAAGATGAAGTGAGGGAAAAAAAACCAAACCTTTTTGGAAGAAAGGACTTAGCTAGAGGACCTCAGGTGTATTCTGCAAGATGTCGAGCAATCTGCTTTGAAATCTAAGCTCACCAAATGCCAGAAAAGATGGGAACTTGAAGTGACATTTTCCTAGGGTGCTGGAGGGCTAATGGACTGATTTTA